CGGCTTCCGTGCCTGGGGCAGGACAGTCGCGGGGCCGCCTGCACCCTCCACCCCTGCAGGAGCAGCTGGGCAGGGTGCCACTGCACACGGCCGGACAGGCTCCTCTCCGTCTCTCTCCCATGAATTGCCCCACACAAATCCTCCTCTGGGGACCTCACCTCACCCTCGTCGTCCCCACCCCCATGACAAATGGCTGGTCCTTGGAGGGGCTGGTCAGCACCCCCAGGTCAGACTCATTGCTCATGCATGTATTCCCCACCGAGCCGGTCGGTGCTGGCTTTCACAGGGACACAGGCTGCAGCAAGACAGAGGGAGCGTGGGAGCGTTCAAATCAGGGGTTACAGGTGGACAAGGCCCAGGAAGGCCGAGGTGCAGGAGGGCCGGGGTGGGGGTCTGCTTGGACCAGTGTGGACAAGCAGGGCCTGTCTGAAGAGGTGGCCTCTACGCTGAAATTGCACAGACGGGAAGTGACCAGCCAGGGGAAGCGCCGCTGCTCCCAGCTGGGCCTGCCCGCCTCCCAGGCTTCTCAAAGGCCAAGCGGAAGGGACAGTGACCGTCGCCTGCCTCTGCTGAACATCCCACGGGAAGGGACCTACTGGGGTTGTGGCCAGGTCACCTGTCCTGGACGCCCACTGCCCCGCCCATGCAGGCCCGCCCTCACGAGGAGGCAGTGAGGCTGGTCGGCGGGGCTGGCTGTGGAGACCCGTGGAGGCCGCCTTCGTTGTCACTTGGTTATAAAAGCTGACTCGGAGGTTTAGGGAGAAGCACTTCAGAATAAGCTGGAATTGTCCGATCCTCTTGCAACGCCGTCTTGAAAGGCTCACTGGACACGTTCCCCTGCTCTTACTGGGCATCTAGGTTGTTTCCACTGTGCAAGGGCGGCCCCAGGGAGGGCGCGACGGCTCTGCCCGGAGGCGACCCTGGAGCCACCTTGCACAGCCTGAGAGAGGTGCGGAAGAGGTGCATCAGGGTCCCAAGCGCTGAGTAACGTGCCGTCGGTTAGGCACAGACGAGGGAACAGCACACACAAAGGCCCAGAGCCACGATGTGTTTGGAGGCTGACAAATGTCCCCAGTACCAAAGAGTGGACGCAGGTGCCGTGAAAGGGGGGCCCTGAGGCCACGGGGCCACCATGGCTGGAGCTGGCCGAGCAGTAACTGGGGCGGCACCTGGGCCAGAGCATTTGGAAGCAAAGGAGAGACGTCCAGATTTGCATCATGGAAAGTCCAAGCTCCGGGCCAAGGGGGTGGGAGGGTAGAGGGGGCCCCAGCGGGGGTTCCTGGGACCGGTGAGAGCAGGGCCTGGCATCGAGGCACAGGTCTCAGGGTGTGACACCCAGGCTGGGGGGTCCCCAGGGACAGCTCCGGACGGGAGCTGGCTGTCTCCTTGGCCCGCTGGCTCGGAGGGCGGTAGAGAAGAAAGGCTGTGGCTGGGGAGGAAGAGCCCAGATTCCTCTGTGCGTCCTGCCTGGAGTCGA